TTCTCCATAGTTGAATCATGTTACTTTTAAGTGCACAACCCATTGGACCAAAATCAAACTGACCAGTTATGCCACCATAAATAGCAAAAGATTGATCATAAAAGAACCTCCTTTTAATGAGATCTTCCATTTTGGCCCGGTCAAATAATTCTTCAGCAGGCGCAAGGCTTAACTCTTTTTCTTCTAAGACTTTTTTTCTTGTCTTTAATTCAGCAACAGCTTTTTTAATGTCTATTTCTGGAGCTTTCTCTTCCTTTAATTTTCTAACTAAATCACCCTGACTTTTAACACTAGCCCGTAAAGGGGCCAGTATCTCTTCGATTTTTGGATCAGCCATAATTATTTCTCGTAATGGATTTGCTATTTTTATTTTTCGGTGAGGTTTATTACTTCCCCACTGACTATACGCAAGTTTCAACTGAGCGCGTACAGCTGGCAAGCACAGACGTTTACTAAATACACTACACTTAAGAACTAAGGTTACAATGTTTATCATTTATTATGTTAGGAAATAAAGGTTTATTGATTATCACATCTGGTAGTCGGTGACGGGATTTCTCGTCGCGTGTATGTGAAATTAATAAATGTCAAAATTGACGTGGCTAGCACAGAGTACTTTCTTCTTCTTAATAACTGGTTTTACGGCTCTGGGTTCTAGCCATTCTGAGCCTGCAGTTACAATGTATAATTATTATTCATAGTACACTGCTTCACAATATGTTGATGCGTCACATTGTAGCCGTTGGCAGATTTTGACGGCAACTTGAGCCAGCAGACAGCTGATAGTTTGCGATGGTATCTCAAGGCGCCTAAGCAGACAGACAACTTATCTTGAGAATCACATCACCATCATAGCTATTGTTTCACCGTTTCCACTAATAGTTCACATGCGTAGACATTTAATACACAAAATAGCACAACTTTTACATATCAAAATCCACTTGAAACCATTATTAAGACAATAATAGAGGAGTAGCAATCCGTCGCCGGTCAAGTTCCTGCCAAAACTCCCAGACTCCCAGAGTACTTTCTTCAGATAGTAGCATAGATATTACGGAGTTATGGCGGGAACTTGACCGGCGGTGGTTTGCTGCTCCTGTATTATTGTTTAAATAATGATTTAAAATGGATTTTAATATATAAAAGTGGTGCGATTTTGTGTATTAAGTGTCTGCGCATGTGAACTATTAGTGGAAACGGTGAAACAAGTGCTCTGATGGTGATGTGATTCTCAAGATAAGTTGTCCGTCTGCTTAGGCGCCTTGAGATACCATCGCCAACTTTCAGCTGTCCGCTGGCTTAACTCATTCGTTGCCGTACTATAATTTTCTAATTTCATACGTATGGCCACCGCAATAATTTGCCGAGACTCGCAAGGCGAGTAGTCGGCCGTACGAACGAGGGGGAAACATCTCGCATGGCAAGTCGCTAGCCGTACAGATGAGGAGTTTGCATCTAAATGCATATTTGCCCATTTTAAGGTGTTAGAAGCGAAATTTACTAAGTAAAAAGATTTCAAACTAGTTCTGGAAATTAAACTTCTTCGTTGCTAACCAAAACAATTTGAATAAACACTTCGGATTTGTTTTAACACGGGTAAGTAAAAAATATACTTTTGGCTTGAAGTAGATTTTTTACACAAATTTTAGGAGACCTTCCGTGATACACCAGAGGATCTACCCGAATCCCAGCCTGTCGATGGTTCATACTACTCCGAAGAAATTAAAAAATATATGCATATAGCTGTCACAAAACAAAGTTACAAAAGAAATGGGTACTATGACGGAATTCCAGCATTGCAGCATGAATCCAGAAAAGGTATCTCAATGCAACGAATATTTTGGGAAAATAGTGGCATTAGAAATGTCAAAGTTTCAGGAAACAAATATGGTTATAACAAGATGAAAGAAATATTTCAAATATGGAAAGAAAAAACTACCTAATTGATATAATTCTTTGGTAAACAAAATGTTTCAACGTAATAGTGATTGTTTAAAACATACATTAATGATCGTCTCGTACGTATACTATAAGTCAAGTAAAAGACCGCTGGCTATGCACATGCGCAGAGCGTGATCTGCATGCGCAGACTGCGGAGATACGTCGCACAGCGTTTTTTAAGTGAAGGCATCTGTACCTGTAATTGTGTTTCAAATTAATAAATGATACACGAGTCTAAACTTTATACTTTTATTTATTGAAATCTAAATGAACATAAGTCAATATTCACCATCCTCGCCCCCACGCCTCGTTCTCATCTTTGGTTTTTTTTTTTATAAAAAAATTTATATACTTATCTGACATGCGGGCCACGGTTTTATGACGTCAAACAATATTCAAAGTGGCTGATAATTAAGAATTTACATTTTTTTCCTTGTATTTTTGAAGAAAATACGATAAATATATTTTAATAGTGGTAGAGCCACGCGGCAGCTTTTGTTGTTGCACGGATGGGCCGGCTCGAACCGGGGTAGTACCACGACCTCACAGAAAACCAGCGTGAAGTATAGGTATACCTCTGCGTTTCGCTTGGTGAGTGCAGGTGGCCGGAGGCCCTTTTTACTGGAAATGAGGCATTCCATCTTAGTCCTCACGGGTGACAACGCATCTACATTTTGATTTGTAACAGAGGATAGATGTAGATGTCTATGGGCCGCAGCAACCACTTACCATCAAGTGGACTGTGTGCTCCTTTGTCACCCTTATCCTATAAAAAAAAAATAGGACTGGAAGCGTTGTCCATTGCTTCAGTCAAGAATGCATTAAAATGCACAAGGTTTGAAACAGTAGAGCGTCCTCTTATAAACCCATGTTGAGTCGGATTGAATGAATACTTTAGAGCCGCGTATAACTGATTAAATATGATTCGTTAAAAACTTTATGCATAACTTAGAAATCGGCCGATAGTTAGTAACTTCAGTCTTGGAACCACTTTTAGGATAGACATGCGTGATAAATGCGCGCTTCCAAGCAGAAGGAAGCATACCTGAAGAGACTTTTTTACAAAATAGTTAGAGGTACAAATAGTATGCCCACAGTTAACAAGAAAACAGATTTAGTTGGATCCAACGTTTCAAGCAGCTTCTTGACCATATTTTGGTTTATATCGATTGAGATGATATCAATACTCAACTGTGACAATGGTAGAGAAATTATAATAATTTGAAGACAACTGGGTATTACTATCACCCTTATCCAAAAACGTGGAACAAAAGTAGTTTAAAAAAGCATTACAGATAAGTTCACCAGAGTTCAATACAGAACCTTTAAATTTAAGATAATTAGGTATTGAATGTGATTTTAATTTTTGTTTAACGTACGACGAGAAGTGCTTAGGATTTGTACTAATCGAATTTTCCACACAGATTTTATAAGATTGGTATGCTAACTTTTTTAATTTTCTTACACACTCACGCAATAGCTTCATCATGAAGAAACTTATAAGCTATTGCCTGCTGCCATTGATCCCAAATTTACGTAAAACTAGCTGTTTCCCGCGACTTCGCCCACGTTTTAATTTATTACGATTGGATTTCCTGGGTTTTAAATTTTATGCGCGGGACCTTAATTATTTTTCTAAAATAAAAGTAGCCTAGGTTACTCCTTATAACACCAGTTGTTTGCCAGTGAAAGTTTCATCAAAATCGGTCCAGCCATTTCGGAACAAACAGACAGACAGAGAAAATTTAGCACACAAGGCACCCAAGTAATTTCACTAAGATTAAAGTCACACACTTATAAAAACCTATCGTCCGAGTGACTCATGAGGATGTCGCTCACCGTGTGTAAATAATTTTGAAGTTGAGCAGCAAAACTGAGACCCAGACTTTCGTTGCACAAGTAAAAAAACAAATGTTTGGGTGTTTTTTTACGGGTGTTTTGGTGGATAGATAACTTTAACCATAGGTCCTCAGCACTTGAATGAAAGGAAGGCTGCGGAATAATTTCTAAATCCTTTCGCGTCGCAATCATAACTACATCACCAAACTGACCGTATCGGTTGTCATATAGTTCTGTATCACTAATTCTGTCCAGAAGCCAAGTCTCGGTTATTAATATTATTTCATTATCACATGTGAGAATAATACGATAAAATACGCCCGTTTTCGTGCGCAAGTTTCTTGCGTTTTGATAATATATACCACAGACTAACTAGTAGATTCTAAATTCTAACCTTAGGTTGTCACTGCCATACACTAAATCATAAACCTACACTATTATTATGTAGCATATCCATTTTTAAGCTTATCTATATCCAAAATAAAAACTATGTTGCCATAAAATTTAAATAAGAAATATTTTGAAAGAAAGATTAATGATTAAGAGGAAATAAAGAAATGATATTAAAATATATTAGAAACGACATAACGAATTAAAATTAAATTTAGTATACATATTATTGCGCTTGCACTTCTTATTAGTTTGTGGCATACAATATAAATCCTATCCTAATCCTAAAATATTCTATGTGTTTACATAGAATATTTTTAATTTCTATCGCGAAAGCAGATAAACGGTTGATTTAACTGGGTTTTTGATTAAACGCCCATTGTTATTTACAAATGATATGTGGAAAGGAAAATGTGAAGAAAATGAAAGATTGACGACTTATGTACAATATACTATGCTCGAAGGTATCAACGCCCTTAGATTGGATTCGGATTCATTTCATGGACAAAATTTAGTTTAGAATGGCAACATTACATACCTATCTCTTTCGCACATGAAATCACAGCTTATAATTTCGTGAGATGGAGCGTGATAGGAATAGTTTTAATTATTTGTTTTCTTTTCAAATATATCTCAAATTTGACAGCACAAAGAAGTCGGCCATTTTATAGCTAGCTGGAGGATTTTGGAAGAAGCTCTAGATTTCATACTGAGAAGTTTTAATATAGTTTTTTAATTATTTAATATTTCATCCTTGGTAAACTGTTGTACAAAACTGTATACGTATTTAGTGTAAGATTTTAGTGTATTTATGTGTTAAAAGAAGAGAAATGGACGATCCAAATAGGATGATGGCGCACAGCGGCGGATTGATGGGACCCCAAGGATATGGCTTGGCTGGTGAAAGTGCCCCAGCAGCAGGAGAGGGTGAGGCTCGTAAACAAGACATTGGAGAAATTTTACAGCAAATTATGAATATAACAGACCAGAGTCTCGACGAAGCGCAAGCAAGAAAGCACACACTGAACTGCCATAGAATGAAGCCAGCTTTGTTTTCTGTGCTATGTGAAATAAAAGAAAAAACAGGTAATTTTTTCCGAGCAATTAAAATAGTTTATTGTTTACGTTTATATAAATATAGTTCCATAAAACTAGATAACTGTTTTGCCCTACGAATCCTATATATTTGTTAATTTAATATGAACAATTATAGATTATACCAGAAATCTTGTACCTGTGGGAGAGGCACGTGTTAAGCATTGGATTTTTTGAGGCAGTTGATGATTAGCCAACTGCTACATAATGTATCATCATTACAACCCTTCACAAGTCCACTGCTGAACATAGGCCTCCCCCAAAGAATGCCACAAAGCACGGTCCTGAGCCACCAGCATCCATCGACTTCATGCATATCTTACCAGGTCGTCACTCCATCTAGTGGGGGACGCCCTACACTTCGCCTGCCGGTACGAGGCTGCCACTCGAGAACCTTTCTTCCCCATTGGTTGTCGGTTCTTCGAGCTATATGGCCGGCCCATTGCCACTTCAGCTTACTAATCCGTCGTGCTATGTCGGTCACTCTGGTTCTACTGCGGATATCCTCATTTCTGAGTTTATCACGCAGAGAAACTCCGAGCATAGCCCTCTCCATAGCTCGCTGAGCGACCTTAGCTTCCTCATCCGGCCAGCAGTGAAGGACCACGTCTCAGTTCCGTATGTCATCACTGGCAACACGCACTGGGTGTACAGTCTCGTTTTCAAGTTTTGAGGTATACCTGACGAGAAGATGTGCCGTAATTTCCCGAACGCTGCCCAACTGAGTTGAATCCGTCGATTGACCTCGGTCGAAGTTGGACTTACCTAGTCGGACTATTTGTCCCAGGTAAACATACTCGTCAACAACTTCGAGCTTAGTGTTCCCAACAACTACCGGCATAGGTGTGACATGGACATTAAACATGATCTTTGTTTTGTCCATGTTCATCTTAAGACCTATCCGTTGGGAAACACTATTGAGGTGATTGAGCATATAGTGCTTAGGTCCTCCAGCGATTCTGCCATAAGTACTATATCGTCGGCAAATCGAAGGTGAGTGATGTATACATCACTCATCACATAATGTATATGTAGGACAAAAGGGTCGGCCATGCTGAATAAGAAGTCATGGATTACAAGATAATATTTAGTTTTATTAATTATAAATTGCACCAGGGCACTTTTATAATTATTGAAAATTGAGCTTCTAGGATAAGCTAGCTTGGTACAACCAGTGCACTGAGTCATGCCAGAACCTAGCCTGCCCACTACATGGTCATTTTATATCCGTTGCAAACCAAGTCAAGTAGGTGAAGGAAAACAAGTGGGGTGATCAGAGCACGCGTTGCTTACAATTTTTGCTGTACCGGCGTATGACGACACCGCCGTCATGTCATCATATATAAATATTATTTTTGTTATTTGCTTATTTTAAATTATTATTGTGTTTAGTGCTTTCACTTCGCAACACACAAGAGGAGGAACCACCAGATCCTCAGCTCATGCGTCTGGACAACATGCTTATTGCTGAGGGTGTTGCGGGCCCTGAGAAAGGCGGCGGTGCCGGAGCTGCTGCATCAGCATCAGCCGCTGCTGGAGAATGGGGTAATTTGTTCTGTATTCTGTTGAAGTATGATAGTTGGTTGATGGTGTCAAAGTGCATGCAATTAAAAAAATTATTTGTGTATATGAAAAGAAAACAATACAAAAATTTTTATTTAACCTTAATAATTGACAAGTGTGGTTAATCTCTACTATAAAAATATTTGGTGAGGTTTTTGTCTATTTTAATCACTTTTCTGTTTTAGAAGGGTATATTGCTATAAAATAATGATATAACTGTGCTATACTTCTGCCATTATTAAAGTAAAGTAAAAGTTTTTTTGTATAATTTTTCAAACGTATTAAGGTTACTTAAACTGTCATGTCATATATGTCCTAGTTGAGCAACAGGCCTTACACTTCTTATTTTACAATAATTAAATATAGATTGCAATCTAACTAGATTTGTCAATAAAAAAGGTTTTTTTAAGTTGGAATCAGATTTTGCTAAATATTTTTCAAATGTTATTGCTGATATAAATTTATTTAAAAAAAAATAGCAATCCTATTAACATTTTACCACTTTTACTGTTGTACTTTTGTTCTTAACTGTTCTGAGCCGAAAAATTTGTGCTACAAATAGTTTGTAATTGTAATCGAGTGTCAAAAAATGTAGTTCATAACCTCAACCATTAGTATATAATATCAAGTTTAATTATAATTATTTTGTCTTGTCTAACAACTCAAATGTCTGAAATATCTTCAGATCAAAGAATTTTTTTTTGTTTATTTTCATTAACTTCTAATGAAATTTATATGTTGTTCATTTAATTATCTGTAAACATGAGCATGTTTTTTATTTAATTTTATTAGTGCATGCATAGAAACTGGTGAGTGGATATTATTGAAACTTAAGTATAATATAATTTAATAAGTATATTATATGTGTTATAAATTAATTGATAATAAAATATAAAAATTAGTATAATATGTTATTTAGGAGGTGAGACTAATATTTATTAGAATAAGTTGAGTATGTACATATAGATTTAATGTATTATGTAGCCATTTGCAGTGGTATAATGTAAGCTGGTATTAACATATTTTTTGGAATAGTATAGTTTGTAACTAAAACCGGGGAATAAATAGTGATCATGGGCATGATTAGAGTGGCTTTTTGTATCCGTTTCATATTTATTGACATTAAAACTACAGGACACATTTTAATAGTTATTATATTGTCAAAATACATTTACTGTTAAAACACTCTTTCTACTGATAATACAAATTTCTTTAGCTAACTAGAACCAAAATAAAGTCCTCAAATCCAAATATAATCTTGAACTTCTTTAGATTAGTGCTATCATAATATCTTGCCTACACGACTAAACTGAAGGCACCACGAACTTGTAATATTATATATTTGTAATATTATTAGCTTTGTTGGCTTTTAATCTTATAATCTGCAAAGTCACAACCAATATTTAATATTAAAAAAAAATTGGTTTCATATTTTTAAGCACATTTTTTTATAATACAAAGCTACAATGTATGTAGGTTTTGAATATCAAGTACAAAAGCCTAAGTTATCACCTCCTAACAAGTCCATGATGCTACCCTGCAATCGGCTACCTAACATAAAGTATTGGGATGGAGGTTGCATGTAACTATTTCTGTCCCCCCGTTTGCTGCAACTTAAGGCACTGTGGCTCAAGCAGATAACGCGATCGAGCACTCGGACTATCGCGCGAAGCTCGCCCAGATCCGCCAGATATACCACCAGGAGCTGGACAAGTACGAGAACGCGTGCAACGAGTTCACGACCCACGTCATGAACCTATTGAGGGAGCAAAGTCGCACAAGGCCCATCACGCCCAAGGTGCGTTCACGTTTATTCTTTCTTCGCGTTTTTTAACCCACTGTTAAATAAAGGCCATTTCAGGAATGAGCCAGCTTACGTAACTTAAAAAAAAATTGCTTTAAGACGCAATGTTTTAACACCATTAATTTTATATTCACTAATGCTGTTCGCACATTTGTCCGCGCCGTAAGTGCCGAATTTTAGATTTCGTTGTACGAAATCATATGAAACCTCGCACATTACACCCGCACCGTATGCGCCGAATTTTATAAAATGCGGTAGTTATACCATATGGAAGGACAAATGCTGATGACCTCATACAACGCGGTGCGCTTAGCGGGTTGATACTGTGTTGTCTAATGTTGCCAACTTAGTGGATTTTCCACTAAAACTGGTGGTTTCGACTTTTGTTTCGAATTATATTTTTTAAGTGTTAAGTGTACACTGCGATTAGAGGGCAGAAAAATGCTGCAACGACATTGAAATTCCGATAAAGTTTGTGAAATGAATAGTTACTGATAAATTATGTAAATAAATTAAGAAAACTTGATAGTGAATTTTAATTCAAAAAGCCTATTATACCTGATTACTTAATTATCAATAAAATACCTCAAACATACAACAAGTCTTTGCTCTGGTACAATTGGCCTCCTAAATCTTGAGTTTTCCATAGAAAGATATGGTTTTAATTAGACATGGGCAATGTGTATCACTTAAAAGAAAAGATTGATATGTATCTTTTGATCACTGGGATATGTATCACTCTTTTATATCTTTATATCCTTATGTATCAGTAGATCATGCTCGCGTTCACGACACGCATCGCATTACATTTCGTTGCTCACTCAGCGTGGCTCGCTTCGCTCAACTCAATCCTATATATAATCAATATAATCCTATCCAATAGTAAGAGTGATAGATACCTATCGACCTATATATAAGACCTATAGAGTTGTTTGCATTTTGCTTGGTCGTAACATTGTGCATCTTTCTGATATATTTGGTTGCTGTTTCTTTCTAGGTATTTTTTAATCATAACAAATAGTGTCATGATCAAAAAATTAAAGTTTTTTTATTTCTCAGACATGCCGGTTTCCTCACGATGTTTTCCTTCATCGCCGAACACGTGGTAAATCAGCACTTAAAATTGCAATCAACAATTTCGTTGGTGCCGGCGGGGATCGAACCCGGGTTGCTTGCGTACTGTGAAACTTACAGCGATCGCTATTATTGTTATGATTGATAAATATTAATAGGCACTTACTCGAAAAATTTACTTACAATTTTAGTTTTAAATAATAATTAAATAAATGATTAACGTAAATAACATAGGTAGGGTATTTTTAATAATTTTAAACTAATATACCTACGGATTTGTTCGGAACCCTGGGTGCGCGAGTCCGACTCGCACTTGGCCGTTTTTTTATGGATATAAACGACTACTATTTCGGTTATAAAACTTTCTTAAAAACGATGGTTTTATAACCGAAATTAGTTTGCACTGTTTACTAAAAAATGCATAGGCAAAGTACACATAGGTACGGTTTAAACCAGTATAATACCTAAATGTTAACGTACCGCTTAATGACTTTAAGCACTATGCGCCAGTCATAGAGTTATCAATTTACCTTTTTGTGCCAACGTATTACAGTTTATAATGGTCAAACAACAGGGGCGTAGCTACCGCCGTATCAGCCGTATCAATGATACGGGGCCCCCGGGCTACAGGGCCCCGAACGTGTGTAAACAAAATTCCAAGGACATCTATGGGACAGGAAAAGCTGTCACTATCGTCTATATAAGCAAAGAATTTAGAAAAACTGAAATCGTCTTCAGCTATGAATGCCAACGAATCGTCTCCAGCTATGTTCGCTGAACAAAAGGCAAGAAAAGTGTATATTTGATTTTAATTGTTTGGCTAGCTTAGTAGTTAGAGTATTAATTGTAAGTAATAACGAATATCCCCGTGTAATAATCCCCGTGTAGTGGCGGGTAAGAATACTCACCACCACATATCTTCCCGTGGCAGAGGATAGGCAGCAGCATCTTTCTTATTACAGCAAAACAACAATAAAAACTGCCGTTGCCAACCCGCTCGCACAGGAAGTGGACCTGGTCGAGCCCCAACGGTTCGACAAAAAATGAGATTGACTTCATTATGACGACCAGACGAGAACTGTTCAGTGATGTCTCAGTGATCGCGAGGGTGAAAACCGGCAGCGATCACCGAATGGTGAGAGGTACTGAATCTAAAAGTTAGGTTGGAGAGGTCTCGTTTGATGAAGTCAACGCTCCGTCCCCCTCGTGCTCTAATCCAATGTCCCGAAACCTTTCAGCTCGAGCTACGAAACCGTTTTCATTGCCTAGAAGATTGCAATGCAGTGGATGATATGAATGACAAGCTCGTTGAAACTGTCCATGCGGTCGGAGCTAAGTTTCGCAAGACCCGCCGCAGAAGTACACGAAAACTCTCCGATCACACTCTTAATCTCATTGCTGTTAGACGGGATATGAAGCTGCAGTCTTCAGTAGATTTGACAGCATACAGGCAACTGAACAGACAGATCTCCAAATGCATGCGGCGGGACTTACGCAACTTTATTACTGCTCGTATTGAAGAAGCGATCGAGCGGAACCAGGGCTCCAAAGTCTTTGCTAGAGATCTGTCTGCCAGAAAGAGTCAACTGTCAAAGCTGAAGACCGAGCGTGGCAGCGTCGTTTCCGGGACACCTGAGATTTTGAGTGAGATTGAGAGGTTCTATGGGCAGCTGTACACATCATCGTTGGAGCCACACGCAAGTGCGAGTAACGATCCAAGAGCGAGTCTTATCCGACACTATTCCGATGATATCCCGGACGTCAGTCTGAGCGAGATTAGAATGGCTCTCCAGCACCTTAAAAACGGCAAGGCCCCAGGCGAGGATGGAATTTCAGCGTAGCTTCTGAAAGCGGGTGGAAAACCGGTACTTGAATTCCTTCAGAAGCTCTTTAATTTCGTCCTCCATGCTGGCATTACACCGGAGGCATGGAGCGGAAGTGCGGTGGTCTTGTTCTTCCAAAAAGGTGACTACGCTCGCTTGAAGAACTACAGACCGATTTCCCTTCTGAGCCGCGTCTTCGTGCTGTTTTCGAGAGTCATTACGAATCGTCTCGTGCGCAGACTTGACGACTTCCAGCCTCCCGAACAAGCCGGTTTCCGAAAAGGCTTTAGCACCATAGACCACATACATACCCTTCTGCCAATTGTATAGAAGTCCGAGGAGTACAATTTGCCACTATGTCAGGTATATGTGGACTATGAGAAAGCCTTTGATTCCGTCGAAATTTGGGCAGTGCTGTAGTCCCTTCAGCGCTGCTAAGTTGATTGTCGGTATATCGAAGTGCTGAAGTGCTTGTACAGTAGGGCTACGATGGCTGTCCGAGTACAGAACCAGACTACGAAACCTATCCAATTGCAGAGAGGTGTAAGACAGAGTGACGTTATATCTCCAAAACTCTTCACCGCTGCATTGGAAGACGTTTTCAAGCTTCTGGACTGGAAAGGATACGGTATTAACATCAATGGTGAGTAAATCACTCACCTTCGATTTGCCGACGATATAGTTCTTATGGCAGAATCGCTGGAGGACTTTAGCACTATGCTCAATGACCTCAATAGTGTCTCCCAACGGATAGGTCTTAAGATGAACATGGACAAAACAAAGATCATGTTTAATGCTATGCTCAGAGTTTCTCTGCGTGATAAACTTAGAAATGAGGATATCCGCAGTAGAACCAGAGTGACCGATATAGCCCAACGGATTAGTAAGCTGAAGTGGGCCGGCCATTTAGCCAATAGCGGCAACAACCGATGGGGAAAAAAGGTTCTCGAGTGGCGGTCTCGCACCGGCGGACGAAGTGTAGGGCGTCCCCCCCAGATCCATGATGGAATGACTTGCAGGAAGTCGATGGATGCAGGTGGCTCAGGACCGTGCTTTGTGGCATTCTTTGAGGGGGGGGGGGGGGAGCTGTGTTCAGTTGTGAAGAGCTGTAATGATGATGAATAACGAATATTCAATAATATGTAATAATTTTAATTAAAATCAAAAACGCTTGTTTTGTTCCTTTTATGAAATCTTTACTCTTCATTGGGGCCCCTAAACAAATTTTGATACAGGGCCCATCTAAGGCACGCTACGCCACTGTCAAACAACTCACTCTCTCCGTCTTGCCAAAGCGCGACAGAACATTCTAAATAGTGAGCTGCGAAAGAAACGTCTGTACTATGGACTTCGAAATCTTCCTGGAATGCCCAGCCACGCCGGCCGAGGTATAATAGAAAGCAGTGTGCGCAATGTGCGACACAGATGTTAGATATAAAAAGTTAAAAGATGCCTTGAGTGAATAAGTTGTAAAGATATACTGATACAGTGATACATTCGGATGCGGATGGATATAAAGATTGATTAATGGAAACGGATTGATTCATATCTTTTGTATCTATCTTTCCTGAGTTACCCATCTCTAGTTTTAATATATGTAACAATTCTTGAAATTTCTTGTATATTAAATGCAAATATCTAAAAAATCGTTCATCATCATGTAACAAGTCTTTAAATACCCTCCATACAATTACGTTTTTAAATAAATACGAGGGTGGATTGAAAAGTACTCGGCCTAACCAAGAAAATAAACAAATACTAAATCAGTTATATTTTTATTTTTCTACATAATCACCATCAAGTTCAATACACTTTTGCCACCTCCCATTCCAAGCATTTAGACCGTTGAAAAAAAATGATTCTTCCTTAGAGTCAAAATATGCGTCTACAGCTGCTTTGACCTCGTCGTTTGTCGAAAATCTTTGACCTCCCAAGTGCTTTTTTAGGTTAGGGAACAGAAAGAAGTCTGATGGTGCCAGATCAAGTGAATACGGCGGATGCGGTAACAGTTCAAAGCCACAGTTGTGAATTTCAGCCATTGACTGTACTGACGTGTGAACACGGGCGTTATCTTGATGAAACAGGACTTTTCTTCTG